GAGAGAGAGAGAGAGAGAGAGAGAGAGAGAGAGAGAGAGAGAGAGAGAGAGAGAGAGAGAGAGAGAGAGAGAGAGAGAGAGAGAGAGAGAGAGAGAGAGAGAGAGAGAGAGAGAGAGAGAGAGAGAGTTTAATGGTGATGGGGAACAAGGGGGCGTAGGGTAGTGTGTTGCCGTAGTGAGACTGCTTTCGGAGTACGGCAGATTAAAAGAAAAGAAAAGCGATGATGATCCCTTCACCAACACCTAAACGCTCTCTCTCTCTCACGCGCGTACTCTCTATTCTCCTTGAAACGACAAATTTTGTGGCCGTTTGCTACCGTCACATCGACGAAACCGTTTCGTATTTTGGGTGTTACTCCCCACTCCGACCTTTATTGGGCTCTTATTTGATCCATGGGCTTTTACTTCATTTTTTCCCAACTCAGTTTATATTAATCGAAAGTTCTATAAATTTAATGAGAAAACAGTAGTTAAAATTCCCAACTTATTCATTTTCGCCAAAAAACATACAAACTTTCATTAATCTACTCTATTAAAATAGAGTCATTCTTTTTATCTACTGATAGAAGTTGTCATTTAAATTTGGACTCTTTCTAAAATATTACAAATAATATAAGTCATATAATTGATTGAACTGTATTACTTAAATTAAACCAACAAAATTAATGTAAAAAGACGACTTTAATGTAAACTACCTTCAAAATACGGCAGATATCTATGTGTATATCAAAAACAAATATTTTATCCTACAAATATGGAATGTTCTAAAAGAATATATATATATCATCAAAATATGAAATATGGAAATCTACTAATTATACTTAAATTAAATCAGTGGTTATTTATGGAATATAGTTTTGGGCTTACTTTTATTTTTTGAACAAATTATATAGTTTGGTTTTTGGGCTTAGTATTAAGAAAAAACTCCAAAAACATTAAATAAATTTTTCACCTTAAAAGATCAAAAAATCAGTTATTATTTTCAGACCCAAAAGGTATTTAATATTTTTAACTAAACAAGATTATCCATTATTAATCATTTATTTAAATCATGTACTTTAAAACATGTTAATATATTTTTTTATTTTAAATAACAATCACTTTGTTTTGATAAATTTCAATGGTAACTTTTAAATAATTTATTGTTTTATTTTTCTTAAATAATTTACTGATTAAAAAAATGTAAAGCAAAACCAAAAGGGAAATTGCCAGAAATAACACTTTCAAAATACCAATTTTCAACTTTACACCAACCAACTTTACCATTAAAATTTTAATAGTCAAAATACTATTAGAATTTAGAGTTTAGGGTTTTGGGTTTAGGATTGATAGTTTAGGGTTTAGTGTTGATTTTTTAGGGTTTAGGGTTTACTTTTTAGGGTTTAGATTTTAGGGTTTAAGGTTTAGAATTTATATTTTAGGGTTTAGGGTTGATTTTTAGGGTTTACTTTTTAGGGTCTAGAGTTTAGAATTGATGTTTTAGGGTTTACAATTAATATTTTATATTATTGATTTATATATATATATATAAAAGAACAAGGATATAAGAGGCTTTTATCATTTAATAAAATGTGTATTTTTGAAAATGTTTCTTTGTTGATGGTAAACATGAAAAGTGGTACCACCAAAGTGGTATAATTGAAATTCTCCCAAACCAAAAACCAAATCTAAAAACTAAAATCCAAAACAAAAAGCTGAAAACACATATTATATTTTTTTGCTTTGATTATTTACAAAATAAACTATTTCAATTTTCTTTTTAAAATTTGTTTTCATCTTTTCAGTTTTAAATTAGATGTTCGATTATTTGAGATTTGTTTGTTGGTAATATTTGTTCAAACTAACTCAACGAGTTTAAAAATTAAAAACCCAAACTAAAAATTGAAAATGAAAAGTAGAAATTTAAAAACTAAAAAACCAAAATCTAAAAATAAAAACTGAAACTAAAAACTAATGAGAAACAATCATCACCACAAATTTTGGTGAACTGATTTTATATCAAAATATTATTTAAAAAATTATGACAAAACCCAATTATATAAATCTTTAATCATAAAAAATTTCCGCGCTTTTAAGCGCGGGTCAAAATCTAGTTAATCTAATTAAATACCAAACTTATGTTAACTGAACCATTACGAATCCCCTATATATTATTTGAGAAGCATTACAACATGTTTTGGTAGCCACGTGTCATCATGAGAATGCTTCTCAAATTTACTAGAGAAAAATGTTGGCCCATATAAACATATAATATATTTTTTATTAAATTAAACATAAAATATTATTAATGCTATTCATATTTTCCTTATATAAAATTTATAAGATTACCTAATATGGTTATAATATAGATATATATATATATATATATGACAATTAACGATTTGAATATGAAGATTTGATAAAAAAATTAAAGCCTTTACTATTTTTGTTAAATATATATTTTGTTAAACATATAATATACTTTTTATTAAACTAAGCATAAAATATTATTATTGCTATTCATTATTTCCTTATATAAAATTTACGTAATTACCTAATATGGTTATAATATATATATGACAATTAATGATTTGAATATGAAGATTTGATAAAATAAATTTAAAGCCTTTAATAGTTTCGTTAAATATATATTATGAAAATAAATTAAACAATAACATTAACTATATAACAAAAAAAAATTATTATTTTTATGTATGTTATATTTTTAATTTTTAAAATGACTATAAATTAATATAAATTTAAAAAAATTCACAAATAATATTTTGATTAATAGTTTAAATCTCATATATATTAATCATGAAGCATTACAACATTTTTTCGTATCCACGTGTCACAATGAGAATGAATTTTATAACTCTTAGAAAAATATATTGGTCCAACTAAACATATATTATGTAGTATAATCTCTTTAAATTAATACTCTATAAATTAATATACACTCAAATTCTTTATAAAATAATATAATTTTATAGTTTCAAATTGAGTTTTTGGTTCAATTAGTATATCAATAAATTAATAATATCTATAAATTAATAAATAATTATAATTTTGGTGTAGTCCCAACATTACTAATTTATATAGGTGCCACTGTATTTTGTTATACTAACTATCATATTTAATTAGTATTGTACAAAAGATTATTCCTTATTATTTCCTTAAATAAAAACTACATAATTATCTAATATGGTTAACATATATATCACAATTAATGTTTGTGATTAATAAAGATCTGATAACAATTTTTTATCCTCTTTACTTTTTATTTAATTTTATATTGTTAAAAAAATAAAACAATCACATTAATAATATAATAAGTATTTTTAGATTTGTTCTTATATGTTATATTTTGAATTTTTTAAAACGACCATAAATTACTAAAAATGGTAAAAATATCCTTTGAAAATTTTGTGATCAATGATAACGTTTTTTTAGTTGAGCCAATTGTTTTTAACCAAAATTGGTTAGATATCCAAATGAATTCGAAATTTTGGAATCTAGATAACCAAAACTGAATCGAAATATTTTGGGTATCCGAGTGTACTCGAACCAGATTTATATACTTAAATATATTATTTATTTTTAAATTTAACTTTTAAGAATATACAAAATATATGAGATGTTTTAAAATTTTCCAAAATACTTAAAAATATATAAAATAGTTAAATGCACATTTTTAAAATAGCTAAACGATACTCCAAATACCTAAAATATTTGAAATATTTATTGATTTTGTGTCCAAATATTTATGATAAACCAATTTTATGTTAAGTTTAAATATTTTGGCATTGTTTTTTCAAATTTATATGTTATATATTATTTTTACTTTAAGATTTTGGAAAACTTAAAGTATGTATGAATTTTAATATTTTTTTATAAAAAATTAAATGGTTATCTGAACCTAAACCTAACATGAACCTGCAAAAATTCTAACCAAATCGCAAATATCTAAAACAAACAGAACTAACCGAATCAAATGGTATCCAAATGCACATCCTAATCAAATGTAAAAAAAAACAGTTTTTAATAGAAAAATATATATTTAAATAGAACATATTTTTAAAAAGCTCACTCCGCGCATGGCGCGGGTTATCATCTAGTATACTTTTAGTTAACAAATATAGTCGTGTGTGATCTGTTTAGAGTTAACGCCAAATTCTATTTCACCGTTTGACAATTAGAGTCTATTAGCTTAAATCCCTGATCCAAAACGCAAGAACCCTAATCCCAAATCATTTTGCTTTGTGTATGTTATATTGATGTTAACTAAGACAATGAAGAGGATGACGATTGACAGAAAGATTGGAGGACGATACTAGGGCTTCGGTGGTGGATAATGAAGAATAAGAGAGGAGGGAGGCTGCAAGGAAGAAAGTTATAAATACTTTAGTGATGAGAACGATGATGATATATCACATTTCTTAGTATATGAAATATTAAAGTAGCTGGAATCAGAAAAAGAGATTGATGAGAACTCTGAAACAGAATCAATCCATGTGTTATGAGCCCGAGATTCACTAGAAAATAGAATTCTTTTTAGTTTTTGATTTGAAGATTAATCATTGTTCATCAATTCAGAAGAGTTTGACTTCAACGAAATCGTACAACCCCTACATATAATTATCTTTTGAGATCAAATTTCCGAAGTAAACGTCACAGTTTACACTACACAGTCCTATTGTTTGCTGTTATTTAATTAGGTTTTATGCAATTCAAAAAGATGGGATCGTCACATCTGAGTAACCATGTCATCTCGTTTTGTAGTAGTGACCACATCATCTCCTCCACTTAGCTAATTCTCCATACAGCTCTTCAACATTTCCAACTCAGCTTATGGCTGGTCCATTGGAGCTATGTGTCCTGCTTCCTGCACCAGTTTTCATTAAACTCTTTGTATCATATT